GGTGGCATTGCAGGCTCCGAGGCTGCTGTGGCTCGTGACTAATTTGCTGCACTTATTTCAAAGAGCCCAAATGGCGTTTGGGGGAGAGGAAGCTTAACTAGGACCTGCCAGAGATTAAACGGGCTCCTTTCGGGACCTCCCTGCCCGGAGAAACATCTTTACCTGGACTCTGAGCCCAGAATCAGATTCTTCCAGAAGAGCCACTTAGCACGGAGCCTCAGCGTGGTGGGGAGGAGGAAATGCTCCCCGTCGGAAAATGGGCTGCACATCTGGCCGGCAGGCTCAGCTTGGTTTTAAAATTGCATTTGGAGAGCATCTTTCCCCTTTCCCGGTGATCCCACACTGGGCCAGAATGTAGCAGATGAAAATGAGTTTCCTTATCACCATCACAAGTAAATCAAGTGTCTCCATCCCCTGGCCACAAGGGGCATGGTCATACTCACCTGCCATCTGGGAGTTACTGGCACCTCTGGGCTGAGCTTTGAGTACCCACCCCAATCCCTAGGGACTTCGTGAGGAGAGAAACTAGATGCCTGCCTTGTGCTACCCAGCATCTTGTGTTTACTTTTTACTTTTTGTCGTGCTGGGAGATCAAACCTATGGCCTCACAAATGCTAGGCAAACACTCTATCACTAAATTGTGTCCCAACCCTTACTATCCTGTTGTACGTGGTCTCTGCTTACCACTGACCAAGTGCATCTGTTCCTAGTGGTGGCAGAGTTGGCAGCTTTTCTCTTCATCTTTTCTTTGTCTTGTTAACTGCTCAGATCCACAGGCCTGTGGACATTGCCCAGGGATGGGCAGCCTCGGCTAGAGCGCAGTGAGATGCTACAGGGAGTGCAGCCCTGTTGCCCTCAGGCTTCTCATAGGAATGGTCAGGGCCAGTCCAGCTCTGCCTCGTACTTATCCACTGAGAAGAGCAAACAGGCTGGGGTCCATGCCGGCCACGTGTGAGCTGCTGTGGCAGATGTCCTGCAGGGTTCCATGTCCCCACTTGGGTCACCCAGTGGTGAGGGTGATATTTGGCTTCACAGCTATCAGAGGCTGAGTATTGAGCCCCTCCTGAGCCCCAGGTAATTGCAGGGTGCAAACAACCTGGTAAGACAGTAGATAGCAAGGAGGCAGATCAGACACTCAAGGAACACACTTTCCTCTAAGTTCCTCAGGGCTGGGCCTCGCCTCAGGCTGCCTTTGAGTGTTCAGAATGCTGACTATGAGCTCCTTTCTCTTTAGCACCCTGGGGAGGTGGAGGCTGCCTGGAATTCCGCAGCCTTTCCCTGCCGGTCCTCCAGCCATGCATGGATTGGGCAGACAGCACAGTGGCACATAAATCAAGTCTGTTTCTTTACCTCTGTGCATGCCACTTGCAAATATCCAGTTTCCACAGAGGGTTTGTGGAAGACAGGCTGAAGGGCCTGGGGTGCTTAGCAAGCGTGGCCTTCATTCTCCCCAAGGACAAGTGCATAGGTCCTCCATGTCTGGCAGGAAGTCAAGCTGAGGACCACGATGAGCTGTCCTTGTCCTCAGGGAGAAGGACAGGATGGCTGCTGTGTTCCAAAAGTCCCTGATGTAGGAGTCCAGCTATCTGAAACCCTGTGTGACAAAAATGGCTTAAACAATGCATTATTATCCTGCGGGCCATGGGCCGGGAATCTAGGCAGGGCTTGCCTGGGTCTTCTGCTTTAATTCTCAGGAGGCTGCAAGCCGGGTGTCCACCATAGCCAAGGTGCACTGGGGAAGGGTCACCTCCAAGCTCACTCGGGTGATTGGCAGAATTCAGGGACTTGTGGTTGTAGAACTGAGAGCTTCAGTTCTTTGGAAGAGACCACTCTCAGAAATTTGGGGGGCCATCTCCAGTGTCTTGACCCCCATGGGGGGGTCATCTGTGACATGGCCACTTTCCTCCCAGAAGGACACCTGTCACCTTCACTTTATTTTCTTGGTGGGAAGCCCACACTCTGCGAGGAAATTGCACGCTGCACAGGAGACAGGAGTCGGGGAGCCACCACCAGAGTCCACCCACCAAACCTCATTCTGCGGGAGCTTTACCTGCAGATAGAAGCACCACATCTTTCCATCAGGATAAAGTTTGTTTTTCTTTTAATTGAGTTTATTGGTACATTTTAGGTATACAGTACAGTTACATTCATTGTTGGGATCTTGTACCTTTACCTGACAGGTCTTGGTTCTCATTTTTCCCCTTGTCCCTGCCTTCCCTTCACCCCTCCTCCCCTCCCCATTTACAATCACTTTATTTCCATTTTTTCATTTTCTCATTTTTTTTTCTTTTCCCTTATCACCTTTCCCCTACCCTTCCCACTTTCCCCACACCTTTAGCCCTTTTCTTCCTATTTCACATGGTCAGTTATCTCATTAGGATCTTATGTACTATTATAGTTTATTCACACCAGAGAAACTATTCAGTATTTACACGTGTGACTTATTTATTTCACTTAGGAATATATCAATATGTATCCATTTTCCTATGAATGACTCTAATTTCTCATTCTTTATGCCTGAGTAGTACTCCATTTTATAGAAAAACCACATCTTCTTTATCCAGTGTCCAACTGATGGGCAAATGGGCTGTTTCCAAATTTTAGCTATCACAGACTGTGCCGCTATAAACATGGGTGCGCATACATCACTGTGGTATGATTCTTTTAGTTCTTTTGGAAAGATACACAGCAGAGGGATGGCTGGGTCAGATGGAACCTCCAGTCGCTCCATCAGGGTAAAGTTTAAGGCAAACAAAAAGGCCGATGGGCTGTGCTATGCTGCCTGCACCTCCCATCTGTACTGGTGGGAATGACGGCCCTGCCGCAGGTCCAAAGTGGGGAAATAGACTCTGACAGTGGAAAGGGATTTGGGGACTTACTCAGCTGTCAATATTTAAAACCTTCGCAACATTAAAAGACACGGTCTTCTGCTTAACTATTAATGAACTAGAACATTCAGTTACCTGGAAAATCCCCATTTCCTAAAACATTCAGGGAATCTGAGCCTCTTGGCAGGAAGAGATTCTCCAGCCCACGTGACTGTCATTCATGGGCCATTGATAGAGCAACCGCCGAATGGAGGGGCCCGTGAGGGTCCCCACTCTGTGGCCCCTCATTCTAACCCCTCCACTACTCCGGCCCCGTACCCACCTCGCCTCCCACGGCGCAGCCACTATGTCAGGGTGGAATCGACTGACTGCCCCAGCCTAGCCCAGGCTCTCTTGAGCCCGTCAGGACGAACACAATGGGGCACCAAAGGCGGAACACTATTTCTGAGGTTCATGGTTGATGGACCACCACACAAGCTGCGATTATCATTTTAATTGCAAGGCCAGCGAAACCTTATATTCAGGGTGCAGATTTCAAAGGCCACAAAACCCTCTGCATGCTTAAAAGAGGCCTGGAAAGGTCTGCTTCTGACTCCGAGAGGCCCATTATGATATCTTTCTTTCTTAGCCTCCAGGTTGCAATCAGCCCTGCCCAGAATGGAGACTCTGACCCTCTGTTTCAAGATCCAATGACAGGCCTACTTTCTCAGAGACCTGTGCTCAAACCCCTACCCGTTCCCAACATCTTAAAGGCATCGCTGTGGCTCCCCTGGCTCACCCTCCTACCTGGAACCCCCTGGAACTCACCAGTCCCTCTGATCTGGGGAAACAAAACAAAACAAAAACCCTAGCAAGGGATTCTGACATCTCTTCTTGTGACATCTGAGCTGTTAGACACCCTCACACTCTGTCTTACACCCCCATTGGGACATGCCTCACTTAACTGAGTGAGAGGCAGGTCTTACATTCATCAGTGGTCCTGCAGTTGGCAAGGTGCTTTCTGAATGTTGTTGCTTGTACTTGGCATCCCAGTGTTTCCTCCATTAAGTTAAATTTCTTAAGCTTCCCAGAGTGGAAAACTCACCCAGCTTTTGTTTACAGTTAAATGGTATTTAAACCCCTGCCTTTGTTATAAATCCTTTGCATGCTTAAGACACAGCGGCTCTTCTTGCAGCTTAGAATTCATTACCCACCTGGAGTTCATGGTTTGACCTACAGTGACCAAAGCCAAGATATCAGCCCTTTCCAATGGGTTGTCTTGTTTCATTTTGCAGTGCTGGGATTTGAACCCTGAAGCTCATACATGCTAGGCAATTGCTGTACCACTGAGCCATGCCCCCAGTCCCTCCAGGATCTCTTCAAGACAGGTGTAGTAAGGAATAATGCATGCACAGTGCAGATCTCTTCAAGACAGGTGTAGTAAGGAATAATGCATGCACAGTGCAGCCCATGCTTATGGATGGGCAGTTCTCTGAGTCCTGATAAACACATCCAGTTTGCATGCAACCTCTTCAGCTCTGAGTGAGCTCTGCTGTGATCAGAAAGGTGCCCTCCCTTCTGTGGCCCCCACAGCCTTTATCACGTCCTGGAGCCGCTGCCAGGAAAATGCGTTTTCCTTTCATCCTGGTCTATCTTAGAGCCACTTCCTCAAATGGCTTTGGCTTTCTGTAGCAGCAGTGCCAGGGGAGTGAGTCCAGAACTGGGCCTATGTATTTCTACACTCTCTCATTTGGTGCCAAGAATGTAAGAATGTGGCTGAGTCCCGACAAACGCGGGGTGGGTTATGCTGCATTTTGGCAATAGGTCAAGAAGGCAGCTAGGACAGAGCTTTTCCTTTCAGGCATATGTAAGGTCCGCCCTGTTGTCCTGGCTCTTGGATGGGACAGGTGGACTAAGTGGGAGTGTGGGCATCTCTGGGGACACAGACAGTGTCTCGTTTTTCCTTATGACCCCAGCACTCAGCCCAACTAAGTGTTACACAGCTGACATCAGTGGCTGTTGGTTGAGAGACCAAGTGAGTGTCTTAGGTTGGAGGTGGGGGTGAGATCAGTTGGACTTGGTTGGATTTAGCCACCTCCTGGGTAGCTGGGGACAGTGGGAGATGCCCCAGCAGTGGGGCCTTACCTCTGTCCCCAAGTGACCACAGCAGCCTCCCCACTTCTGTGTTTCCAGAACTACTTTGAGAGCTACCTTGCCATCGCCTCCACCGTGCCCTCCCTGCTGTGCCTCGTGGCCAACTTCCTGCTGGTCAACAGGTAGGCCTCCCTGGCCCCAGGCCCAGCTCCCCCTGCCTGCTGCCACCACTGTGTTTCTGCTTCCTTGGCCACCAGGTGGGGATAGCACGTCAGACCTGTCTACACGAGTCAGGTCATTCCCCGCAGAGGTCCAGTTTGGACCTGGATTCTAGCTTCCAGGCACATGTGGGACCCAGTCAGCAGTCAGCTGGAAGAGTGGGGCACGCAGGGGCTTTCCTCTTTCCTCCTTTCAAGGGGCCTGTCTGGGGACACCATGTGGATGGCACTGAGGGGCTGGGCCCATGGGAGCTGGTCTTCTGAGCACCCTGATAGCAGCTGGAAGCTGGAACGTCCTGCCATTCTGGTCTCGCTGCTGCCATGGGTCACCTCACTGCCCAGGGTTCAGTGGATATATCCACCCCTCACAGTAGGGATTTCAGATATTTTGTTGGTAAGGGTAGGGGAAGCCCCACTGGGTGCACCATGGAAGAAGGTATTATCTGGCAGTCAGCATAGCCCACAGACCTCATGTGTGACTCTTGCTGCCCTTTGTCAGTCTGAGTTTGCAGGGCCGTAGGGTTAACTACTTTGCCTGAATTTCCCAGGAGTTGCCACTGGGTGATAACAGACTTCATTGTAGTACAGAAACCTGGGTTTCTCTTGGTTCTGGCCCACTGAGACCTCAGTTCACTGATCAGTTCTACTCAGCTCTACTCACTTTATAAACTTCCAGGACCTCTGGCTGAACAGGATTGCAAGGCAAGTCTGGCCTCAGGGAATGTGATAGAATTGATTAGTGATGCCTGCTCTGAGTATGGGGGAAAGCGGTGGTGGTACCACAGCCTGTGCATGCTAAGCCAGAACAGAGCATTTCATGCTGTGGAGCTGTTCCATCTATTGTGTAATGTGGCTCCAAGCAAAGTGGCTTGAAACAATAGCAATAGCTGGTTTAGCTGGTAGCTCTGGCTTGTGTCCCTTGAGCAGTTGCCGCCATCAGGAGCTGGGTTCAGAAACCATGCATATCTCCCCCCCTCCCCCTCC